AGAACCACTGACCCTTTTTTTCCAATAATCTGTTTGTTTCAATTAATGGACTATTTAATTTGAAACTCTATACTATTTTCAGTTTTTAATGAAAGTTAAAATTACATGCCCCAAAAGACCATTTATAATTACTGGTAAATATGTTAATGTGTAACATCTGAAATGCTATGATTTTAAATCGTAAGAGTCATGTTTCTAAATCTCCATTTTCTCTTCACAGTAGTGCTGTGATGATGTTAATAAACAAGTACCATTGGAGGTTTAGACTAATAATCAGAAAATGTAAGCCAAATGCCATTACACCAATTCAAGTTCACTTTAAAATTAGTCTGCAAATAAAAGCATCTTACAATGGCTTACAATTAGCTGATAATTGCAAAAAACTAGTTCATGACTGTTTGTGAAGAATGAATAAACTATATGTGATTCCAATGTATTTGATTCTTAACTGTCCTCTGAAGTTACCTAGGTAACCAGGGATGGGTATAAAAAGCCAGCTTTGCCAGTGATATACATGTAACCAAAGATTTTTTCAAAAAACCCATCGCTAATCAGTCTCTGATCTGACTAAACACTAATAAAAAAAAACAGGCGTGACTAGATTTTCATAGCTGTTATTGTTTTCCTGAGTGTTATAATCTTGGTTACTGTACTGAAGTACTGAACTTGCTTTGAAGATTTCACAATACTGCATAAGCAGCAATGAGGGGACACTGCACTCTTATCAGAGTCCATTTTCAGATGAGGCTATACAGAGGTCCTGTCCATGCTTTTCAGGCACTAAGGCAGCAGAGTTTTCTTGGTACCCTGGTAGATAATTATTCTTCAATAGGATTTTCCTAACGAGAGATTCTGGTCAGTCTTCTCATTGTTTGTTTGCTAGATCTTTTCACGTGCAGTTTGCCTACTTGTCCCAATGATGTTTCAGAAAGTATTGTGCAGCACATTTGAATGTTATTAGGCCATGAAACATTCTACACAAATTCAAAATCTTTCATTTTCTTTTTTACTTTCAATGCACCATTGCCCATTTGCAAGGTTTAGGGATTACCATCTTGGTTATTGGATAGAGACCTTCATGAAGATAAAGTTCAAATCCTCGCTTGGTTTGGAACATTTTCTGTTTGATAAAATAGATTGACAACCAAATAGGTGTGCATAAGAGCTTCTTACACCACTCTATTCTATCCTGACGTGAAGACAATGTTTGAATAGCAGGAAAATAGAATTTTTATTTGCTAAATTATCATAAATGGGTACAAAATCTCACGCCACATTCATTCAACTGCACTGCAGCTTATCTTTATGCTTATAGTCCAATTCTCACATCAAACATTGCATTTCAGCATCTGCTTTGACTCTGAGTAATGCAATGAGTTAATTAAAAAAAAAACCTTAATATGTTTAAGAAACTGAAATTAAAATATTGACCAGTTACACAACTGCTGGATATCTAATTGCAGCTTTCTTACTAACATCATAAATTGTGCTGAGTACATTTTCAGAGAACATAGAGGTGTTAGCATTGCAAATAATAGAACTTTCAAATGCAAAAAAAATCTTTTACAAAATAGCAGAACAGATTCCGCCCAATTAACTGATTTAACATGGCTTCCCGAGATAGAGAATGGAACTCCTATGATAAAGTTTATTTAGATTTTCAGAAAGGTTCTGTCTGGATTAAGAGCAGAAGTAGGACATTCAATCCTGACTGAATTGCCTATTTTTGACCCATTTTCCATTGTTATCAGTAATTATTATTGATGCTGTGCAACTTTCATTAGTAGCAGCATGGTCTTCACCACGGAAAGGCATTTAATATTAGTTGATTTGTTCCTCGTCAAAACAATTCTACTCCTAATTTCTAAGAAGGAGCAGACAATTGATTTGAGACTCATTGTATATTTGATTCCATAAGGTAAACCTGTCAATTTCAGAAACTGACTATACTATTCTATAGTGCAGAAGTGCATTAGTGTGCAAAAGGGTGAGAAATATAGTCTGTACTGAGGTTTTCATTTATTACGCTTGAGTAGTTGTCACAGCAGTGAGGAAGATCATTTGACTACTCCAGCCATGGTTCCTCCCAGACCAGACAGTTCCTTAAATTTTGTCTCCACTATGATCTCTGCAAGGTCATTCTGAATACTAATCACATCCTACATAAAGGCATCCTTTCCACCATTAGTCCTGAGCATGTCTTTTCAGCTTGGACCTATGCCCAAAAATTAACAGCTCAACTTGAAATTGTGCTCTGGATCACCCTAACATTTGGCAATCAGCATCATGGGCCTTCTCCAAACTTCTAGCTTCCTGGACGTCTTTCTTCTGCTTTACTGATTGTAAGTGAGGAAAGAAATCAAGCTGCAACCTGATCAAAATTTACAAATCTACTGAGCCATCAACAAATAGATTAAATAAATGTTAGATTTTTGTTTAATGAAATTGTTCAATCTACTTTAACATCTGCATCTTTTTCAACATCCTTCCCTACCAATTTGCAAGATCAATGTTACGCATTAAGTATGACTCCCGTTTTTGTTGATCTTTCCACATCTGATTAAACAGCATTGCTCTTGCCTTTTGCATAGTTTGCTTTTCTATGAATCTTTGGCTTCATCGGTTCCAGCTGTCACACTTGCCTTTCCTGTATCCTTTTTTGCTATAGACAAATTCAGTTATGCTCCTGCCACTGACATCTTCATCTATTACAATGGGTTCTACTTCATATTAAACTGTGGCTCTGGTCCCTGCATGCTAGAAGCCAATCATTGATCCTACAGTATCCACCCCCGTATTTCAGACACATCTGGCAGATTTCACCCAGGTGCAAAAAGTAACAGAATATCTGTCTCTATCAACCCAAGATTAAAAGCTGAAACCAAAGACAGACCGTGGGTGTGCAGTGCCGTTGTGCTCGCGACATGTTTTCTATGTGAAACTTGGACTCTACACTAACAGGGCATGAAGCAATTAGAAAGATTACACCACAACATACACTTTCTTTCATGGAAATTAAATGGTAAGGCACAGCAACAAACAGCAATGTGGTGCAGCACGCCAACATAACCAGCATTACAGTCAAAGACGTACAGGTGCAGCTCCAATGGACTGGACGTATCTGCAGGTCAGATGAAAGGCATCCCCACCCATATTCTATGGCTAGCTGATAACAGGAAGCATTTCAGTGATATTCTTTTTGATCTTTGGTTCAGAGTACGATGTTAACCCAGAAACCTTTAAAAGTTTAGTAAAGGCCGCAGTCTAGGAATCCATTATGAAGCATAGTGTCAGCCACTTGAAAGCCAACATTATGAACAGCAGAATAAAGCCAATCAAATAAAATTTACCAGCAATTGTCAATGTGTGCTATTCAGTGGTCTCAGATTTTAAGGTCTGGTTTTCATGACTACATTCCTTGCTTAGAATCTCTTTATCCCCTAAGGGAATATGTTGCAGATTCATAAAGGTTTACAGCAGAGGAGGCCATTTAGTCCACTGTGGCAGCATTGTCTTGTTTAGAGTTATCCATTTAGCTTCATTGTCCCATCCTTTCCTCATAGCCTTTTATTTTTGCTTCTGTTTTCAAATATTTATTCAACACCCTCTAAAAACTGTTACAGATTCTGCTTTTACCACCGCTTGTGGTACTGTAAATCACATCTTGGTTCCTGTTTTGTGGCAATGATCTTAAAATTTATACCTTCTAGCTACTACCTCAGTGGCGACTGGAAATAGTTTTTCCCTTCTATATTTAATCAGAACCCTTCACATTCTGAACACCTCAATCAGAACACCTCAATATTCTTGGTTCGATTAAGAATTTTTCCTTATTCTCCAAATTGGTGTCATCTGAGTGAACTACAGGGTGTGTACTTATAAGCTGTCTTACTATCATATTCTTCCTACAGCATCCAAAACTAGACACAACATTCTGCTGCATGTCAAGTCATTGATTGACATAGGTTAATATCACCCATTTGCAGTCTCCACCCATGCTTATAACTCGTCCACAGTTATTGCTGGCACTGCACTCACTTGAGGTTTAGGGTTGCCCATGGACATGGGCACAAGATGTGTGTTAAGGGGTTCACAGTCAAGGATTTCAGCAGCTGACTGCAACGTTTTCATGGGTTCTTCACTTTGCCAGAGACAGATCCCCCAATCAGGAGTGCCTTTGAGCAAGCGGCTTCCCCAGAAGCCCACAAGCACAGTGACAGCATTTACTGTTTGGGCTCCACCTTGCCTCCCATTCCCACCTGGGAGGTGAGTCATCTGCCTACTGTTACGTAAATATTAGCCTCTCACAAGGTATTGATTGCTGATTTAAAGCCTCAACTTGCCACAGGGAGGGCACTAAATTCTGCTGAAAATTTCAGAATTATAGACCATCAGGTACTGCAAAGAGACTAAGCTAGGAAACTTAAGTGAAATAGAGAAAATATGACAGACAAATGATGGGAAGGCCATATGATGTTAAAAATTTGACAAATGTGAAAAGAGTTTCATTTTAAACAAAACTGGAAAATAGATAACAACAATTCTGACAAGTGAGAATTTCAAGGATATGTATTATTGTTCATTTACTTTACGCTCTAATAATGCTCTTTTTGTATTATTTCAGTGTTTAATTTCATAACTTTGAAAAATAAAATACATAGAGAATGTTCAAAATTTATATCAGTTCTGTAAGAAGACCTATTAAGGCATGATAATTCAAGTACATGGTACTTGAGCACAAGGCAAAATACAACTGCAAGTTTAAATGTATCTGTTTTGAACACAATGACAGTATTTCTTTTTAAAGATGCCTTTTGATCATAACCAGTATAATCAGGTTCTGACTCCAAGAAGTTAGTCATAAGCTTATGATTTGCTAACACTAGTTGATGCTTGATCTCTTCACTTTATCTCGACTGATTATTCTAAGTTAATGATTAAGAAAATTTCTAGTTTTATGAAGGCGCTGAAAGATTGGTGGAAACACGAAACAAAACAAAAACATTGTATTGAATTTATTTCATTTTTGATGAGCAGATGTTTTGAAATACATTAAGTTTGTTAAACACATGAAAATTAGCAGAAAACGCTCTCAAATGAAGTGGCTTTTATGAAATTAAAGTGTTGCATATCTGACAATGTTCACAATTCTTGCAATTTAAACTTAATGATGGCAAAACATTGCACAAATACTGTGAGTTTAAATGCATCAAATCTTCTAAGAGGCCTAAAAATAACATATGGGAAACACTGAAAAGCAAGCTTGGCAGCATTCTCTTTTGGATCTGAACTCATCACTGCCTTTTGAATGCCTTCTTCTAACTTCTTTTTTTCATGTTTGTAACTTGCAAAACTATGCACTGCCAGATCCAGAACTCTGTCACTAAACTACCAGGAGTTGCAGATTACATTTTTAAAGCATACTTGATAAATATCAATGAAACTATTGATATACTGTTAAGTAAGAAGCTTTTTAGAATTTTACTTCAGTGTTTTTAAGAATGAATTTATGTTGGTTGGGAGAAACATAGAAGGTAGAACCATTTTTAAAAGAGAGCTAAATTTTGTTATGCAGTACAAGTAATCCGCATAACTACAACGCCTTTTCACCATCAGGTCTTGACCACACTTCGTGTTGAAGGTCGAAAACAGGTAAGCTGTAAGTGCATGCCGCTCTTGAATTTGTTGAGGAGCTCTTCGAGTAACCTATCATGATGAAACAGCAGTTAGTTCATAATTCATTCCCAACAGGATTGCAATTAAAAAAAACTCTCAATTTAAAAAATCATGATTAATCTTAAATTGTATTGAGCATTTGAATCAGTTCAGCTAGGTTTTAATTGCAGATTTAATTGACACAGTATAACGCCATCTCCATGTTTGTTTCATTATTGGTGCTAGCATTAATTTCATCCATAAAAACTAAAATCCTGCTTTCCTTTTTCTGAAACACTAACAAATATAAATGAAAGTTGTTCACGAAATAGTGTTATTTAGGCAGCATGGATTTGAGTTATGACATAGGTTGGGGAAGATGTAGGCTATGAATGGATGAATGGGGAAACCAGAGGGTTGGCCAAGAATTAAGGCTATGACCTGAGGTAGGAACGGATTGGGGTGGAGAAGCATGGAATCCGAATGCACGCCAGATTGGGCACAGGTTCAGAGCTTGACTGAGTCAAACACAAACTGAGGATATAGTTTGTAGGAGTAAGAGGGGTGAAGGGGAAATACAGGATTAGGATCTGATCAAGAGTGTTAAACATGAACATCGGCTGTGACCTGCGGTCGGAGGGTTGGCAGGCGTGTAGACTGGGATCAAGCACAGAGTCAGCCTCTGACCAAAGATATGTGCTATCTGTTCAGATTGTGACTTAGCCACAGTGTACCCAGTACTGGATGAACAGAAATTGCCACAAGTTAAATATTACAAATCACAAAGTCATTATTTTCAATTCCCTCCACAAACTTTGCCCTAACCCTCAGTGTTATCCGAATCTCTGGTAACAGTCTCAAATAGAAATAAAGAATTTGTGATCTGTTTGATACTGAGGTGAGCTTCCAACTGCACATCTGCGAATCATTGAAACTACCTATTTTCACGTTTGTAACACTGACCAACTTTGCGCCTGTCGCAGGTCATCTGATGTTGAAACCCTCAACCATGCCTGAGTCATTTCTAAACCTGACTCATTCAACATACTCCTGGCTAACCTAGTATCTTCCATCCTTCATAATCTTAAAATCATGTCAAAATCTGCTGCCTAGGTCCTGACTCATATCAAGTCCTATTCATCTCTTACCCTCGTATTTGCTGACCCTCACTGGCTCTTGTTAAAGCAATGCCTCAATTTAAAATTCTTATCTTTTCTTTCAAATTACTCTATGGCCTTGCCCTATCTTTGTAACACCATTCAGCCCTACAACTCTGCAAGTTACATGTGCTCTTCGAATTCAGACCTCTTGAAAATCCTGAATATTAATCCTACTACCATTGAGAGCAACGACCTAAACTCTGGAATGTTCTTTCTCAATCTTTCTTCAAACATACTACCTTTACCAAGCTTCTGGTTACCTTCCTTAATGTCTCCTGATGTGGCTCAGTATCAAGTTTTGTCTGACATTGTTTTATTTCCTACCACGCAAACCTATTGCTTTACTGGGCTCACAGTTAGATCTACTCAATAGTTTCTTGTAAAAGACATCCTCTGAGCTTATTTTTAAGATCATTTTTTGTGACTTTATTTAGCCACAAGTTCCCAATTTTCAAACTATGTTCCACATACCTGAAAAAAATAAGACAGCATATCACAGCAAACAAAATCCAAGCCAACATTCTTCTCATTACCTCAACACTTTCAACAGTGTTTCTGAAGGTACAGCAGCCAACAACGAATGTAATATTCTATAATCACTGATAAAGGTTATGGAATCATTTATGAATTGTGTTACACACCTTTGTAGTATGAAATAATGGTTCAAATTACAATCATTTTGAAAGATGCCCATATTTATTTCTTCGAATAACTTCAAAGCAGAACCATTATTATGATCAGTGCATCAGCTATCTTTAGACATAATATTCCTAATCAATTCATTTTAGCTGTCATATACGCCTTTGTATAATTGAAGATATTTCAACAGGAGAATCTACCACATTTCATAGGCTTTCAAACTGTAGTTCTGATAACTCCACTAATGGTGAACATGCTTGTTTGAACAGGGATATCTGTCTTTTTGAATATTCTAAACAGCGATAGGTTACATAAGAAAATGCAGAAACAGTTTTTCGTTTAGTTTATTTCATGAAACCTTTTCTGTAATGCATTGCTTCCAAGCTGTACCAATTACTTCAACTTTTGGATAGAGAGGGTGGACAAATAAAAGGAAGATATTTAGAGAATTAGACTATAATTTGTAATATTAACGATGTGGCAACAAGTTGCAGAGTTGAGAACTGCTTTTGGATTCATTCCATAAAACACACCCCAGTCACCAGAGTTTCCAGATGTTCAGACAAACTTCCACTGGAAGGAATCTTGGTATCGAGCTTTCATAGGAAGGTTCCATTCAGAAACCTCATGAAGTTACCAGGTAGCTTACCTTAAATTGCTAGGTAGGAAGAAAATAGTACTTTCAAGTGAATGTAAGCAGTAATCACATACTTGTTACACTCTATCGAATCAATTGATATCCCTTTTAAAAAAAAATGTGCTCAAGAATTAATTTCAAAGTATAACAAGCTATAGAAACTTACTTTTTATCTGCTCCATTGGAAAGCTGGGGCAGTGCTTCAAGGGCTTGTTTGAAGCTATAACTAGAGTGACAGAAAGGAAGACAGATTTACACAGAAATTAGTCCAATCTTTTTGGTCAAAGGCAACAGATCCAAACTTAATATAAAATGGAACAATATTGACTAAATAGGAAAATGTCTGCCTAAGTGAGATCAGATAGCACAAGATTAGCATGGATTAATAATGTTGCAAATGTTACCTTAAAAAGGATTATTCTAAATTAAACTATATACTGATTATAGGCTTCAGCAGAACCTACCTAAATGAAATCCATTCATAATGAACAGTTGAATAGATTCTAAATTCCATATGTTCAGAACTGCGATATTTTAAGAATTTATTACATTTTGGCCAATACTCCGATTTTCTACATATGGTCATCCTCATTATGTGCAGTTCAGTAGACCACTCAATACAAATAAACAATTCTGGAAGTAAACGTTAGTGAATCAAATGACCTTTCTTTTTCAATGGCTGATGCTTTGGTGCAACTATTAACAAAGTCCTTGAGTATCACAGAAGTGGAAGAATCATTTCACCAAGTCAAATGACAGCATAAAAAGTGAATCAGAGATAGTAGGAACTGCAGATGCTGGAGAATCCGAGACAACAAGGTGCAGAGCTGGATGAACACAGCCGGCCAAGCAGCGTCATAGGAGCAGAAAAAGAGCATAAAAAATGCATCTTTTTAGTCATTTGATGGTGCTGTGTCAGGTTACACTTAAGACATTGAACATTTGTGCCAGAATGTACAAGTTCTTGTAACAGTTAAAAATATTACTATAACTAATTCAACTGACTTCTTAAAAGCTCTTTTGAAAAACTACAATAATTAAATGATGAAAATATGACTTAAATTTCCATCTTACTTGCTTTCAGGTGTCAGGAATGAGGCAACAGCATCTTTAAGAGCACAAATTTCCAGTCTGGCCTAAAGGAAAAAAAACATATCTTAGAGCTTTGCTCTCAACATGCCTTCGAGCTCTGACTCTCATTTAAAATAGTTCATGCAACATTATACTGTCATATTAAATAATGTCATAATTCTGTGTGACCCTTTCGTTCTTGAAGTTGGTACTTTTAATACTGTTGAGCACTGTGCTGTGACACACGGTACATTACATAGCTAGTAAATGTCATGTTTAAAACATAAGCTTGAGCAGAAATCATTGAACCATACCTTCCAATCCAATTAGTAAAACATGGGTTTATATCATGACTATGGAATATAATGTGGAATAAAATCTTAGTGATCTAAAATAATGATCTACATCACGGTTTGCAGAGGGCAATTTCAAAGTCTGCAGATGACACTAATCTTGAAAGAATTGCAAATTGTGACAAGAACAGTGTAGAACTTCAGAAGGACACGCAATTTGGCAGAGTAGGCAGATAGGTGGAAGATAAATTTCAATGCACAGCATGTGAGATGATGCATTTTGATAGGAAAAAGATTGAGACAATATTAAAATACAGGGTACAATTCTAAAGGGGGTGCAGGAGCAGAGGAACCTGGGTATATATGTGCACATATCATTGCAAGTGGTAGGACAGGTGGACAGGACAGTAAGCTAGATTGGCAGGGAGTGGGGAACCGGATTTGTAATTCAGAGTTTGAGGTATTCAGCCTTCCAACAGACACAACAGGGAGTGAGGTTGTTAATAAAGAAATGCGGTCGATGGAGTGTAATTGTGGACACAGATGGTTTGAGGTGTGTATACTTCAATGCTAGAAGTATCAGAAATAAGGCAGATGAGCTTACAGTATAGGTCAGTACTTGGAACTACGATGTTGTGGCCATTACAGAAACTTGGGTAACTCAGAGACAGGAATGGTTGTTGGAAGTTCCGGGATTTAGATGCTTTAAAAGAAATAGGGAGGGTGGAAAAAGAGGCAGGGGAGTGGCATTGCTAGTGAGGGCTAGTATAACAGCAACTGAAAGGCAGTTCGAGAATGATACGTCTACAGAGTCAGTTTGGGTTGACGTCTGGAACAAGAAAGGAGCAGTCACTTTGTTGGGTTTTTTTTTTACAGACCCCCTAATAGTTGCAGAGAAGTAGAGGAGCGGATTGGGAGGCAGATACTGGAAAGATGCAGAAGTCACAGGGTTGTAGTCATGGGTGACTTCAACTTTCCAAATATTGATTGGAAACATTTTAGTTGTAATATAGTTTGGATGGAGCAGATTTTGTCCAGTGCGTTCAGGAAGGATTCCTGCGACAGTATGTAGATAGACCAACACGAGGAGAAACCACTTTGGATTTGGTGCTTGGCAATGAACCGGGCCAAGTGTTAGACCTGTTGGTAGGAGAGCATTTTGGCGGTAGCGATCATAACTCTGTTACTTTTACAATAGTCATGGAAAATGATAGGTACATACAGCAGGGTAAGGTTTATAATTGGGGGGAAGGGTAATTACAATTCTGTTAGGCAAGAACTGGGTAACATAAAATGGGAACAGCACTATTGAAATGTGGAGATTGTTTAAGGAATACATACTGCGTGTGCTCGATATGTTTGTCCCTAGCAGGCAGGGAAGATGCGGTCAAGTGAGGGAGCCTTGGTTCTCAAGAGAGGTCGAATGACTGGTTAAGAGGAAGAAGGATACTTATGTAAGGTTCAGGAAACAAGGAATGGAAAAGGCTCTAGAGGGATACAAGTTATCCAGGAAGGAGCCGAAGAAAGGGCTTAGGAGAGCTATAAGGGGGCATGAGAAAATCTTGGCAGATAGGATCAAGGAAAACTCCAAGGCTTTTTACACGTACGTGAGGAATAAGGGAATGACCAGAGAAAGGGTAGGGCCAATCAACGATTGTAAAGGGAATTTGTGCACGGAGCCTAAAGAGATAGGAGAGGTCCTTAATGAATACTTTTCTTCGGTATTCACAACTGAGAGGGACCTAATTATAGAGGAGGACAGTGTGAAACAGGCTGGTAGGCTAGAGAAGGTCAATGTTAGTAAGGAAGATGTACTAGGAATTTTGAGGAACTTGAAGATAGATAAGACCCCTGGGCCTGATGGGATTTATCCAAGGATTCTATGGGAAGCGAGGGAAGAAATCGCAGGGCCTTTGGCGATGATCTTTTCGTCTTCACTCTCCGCAGGTGTAGTGCCGGAAGACTGGAGAGAGGCAAACGTCATTCCCTTGTTCAAAAAGGGAATAGGGATAACCCTGGAAATTACAGGCCAGTTAGTCTTACGTCAGTGATGGGCAAATTATTGGAAAGGGCTCTGAGAGATAGGATTTATGATCATTTGGAAAGGCACGGTTTGATTCGTGATAGTCTGCATGGATTTGTGAGGGGTAGATCATGCCTCACAAACCTTACTGAGTTCTTTGAAGAGGTGACCAAACACGTGGATGAAGGTAGAGCAGTGGATGTGGTATACATGGATTTAAGTAAGGCGTTTGATAAGGTTCCCCATGGTAGGCTCATGCAGAAGGTAAGGAGGCATGGGATAGGGGGAAATGTGACAGATTGGATTCAGAAATGGCTGACCCTTAGAAGCCAAAGGGTGGTAGTGGACGGAAAATATTCAACATGGTGCTCAGTTAAGAGAGGTTTACCACAAGGATCTGTTCTGGGTCCTCTTCTTTTTGTGATTTTTGTACATGATTTGGATGAAGGAGTGGAAGGGTGGATTAGTAAGTTCGCAGACGATACGAAGGTGGGTCGCATTGTGGACAGTGCAGAGGGCTGTTCTAGGTTACAAAAGGACATTGATAGAATGCAGAGCTGGGCTGAGAAGTGGCAGATGGAGTTTAACCCTGAAAAGTGTGAGGTGATTCATTTTGGAAGGGCAAACTTGAAAGCAGAATACAGGGTTAACGGAAAGATTCTTGGCAGTGTGGAGCAGCAGAGGGATCTTGGGGTTCAAGTCCACAGTTCCCTGAAAGCTGCCACACAGGCGGATAGAGTTGTTAAGAAGGCGTATGGTGTGTTAGCCTTCATTAATAGAGGGATTGAGTTCAAGAGCCGTGAAGTTATGCTCCAGCTATACAAAAGCCTGGTTCGGCCGCATCTGGAGTATTGTGTCCAGTTCTGGTCGCCTCAATACAGGAAAGATGTGAAAGTGTTGAAAAAGGTGCAGAGGAGATTTACCAGGATGTTGCCTGGCATGGAGGGAAGGTCTTACGAGGAAAGGTTGAGAGAGCTAGGGCTTTTCTCTTCAGAACGACGAAGGATTAGAGGTGTTATAAAATGATCAGAGGTATAGATAGACAGCCAGAGACTTTTTCCTAGGGTGAAGATAGCTATTACGAGGGGGCATAGTTTTAAAGTGAGTGGAGGTAGATATAGGGAAGACGTCAGAGGTAGGCTCTTTACTCAGTGTGGTCGGGGCGTGGAATGCATTGCTGGAGAGGGTAGTGGAGTTGGCCTCATTAGGGGCATTTAAGCGGGTATTAGATAGGCTTATGGATGATAGTATAAATTAGGGGTGGAGGTTAGATAGAATTTAGGATTATGTAAACGTTCGGCACAACATCATGGGCCGAAGGGCCTGTATTGTGCTGTACTGTTCTATGTTCTAAGTAAAGCATCAGCTTTATTAATAGGGATATGAAGTACAAGCAAGACAAGGTCATGTGGAATTTGTATTTGACTTCAACTGGACTGTTGCGTACTGTTTCGGAGCTACATCGTAGAAAAGATCTGAACGCAATAGAGAGATTGCATAAGTGGTTTATAAGAATGGTTCCAGGGATGAAGAACTTCAGTTACGTGGACAGGCTGAAGAAGTTGGGACTGTTCTTCCTGCAAAGAAGGCGGTTGAGAGGAGACCTGATAGAGATTTTCAAAATCATGAGTGGCCTGGAGAGTAATTGGGGGAAAATATTCCCGCTCATAAAAGGAACAAAAACACAAGGTTATAGATTTAGAGATCTGCAGAAGGAGGGTGAATGAGAAAACATTTTCACACGGTGAGCATTTAGAGTATGGAATGCACTGCCTGTAAGTGGAGTAGAGGCAGGTTCGATTGGGGCATTCAAGAGGAGAATGGATAATTATTTGGATAAAAGTAATGTGAAAGGGTACGGGGAAAAGGCAGAAGCTTGGCTCTAGGTAATGATGCTCATCTAACAAGTGCTGTATCACTTGTGATTCTGTGGTAATGGGAAAAACTCATCCCATATTACATGTATTCTAGTATCAAGGATCTATCAATTTGTACAGCATCATACGTAAAAATAATGTGGTGGAGAAACTCAGCAGGTCTGGCAGTGTCTGTGAAGAGAGAAACACAGAGTTCAGTATGACAACGCTTCAGAAGAATCTCCATCAGCCTAGTTTCTCCAGCACCTTCTACTTTTATTTCAGACTTCCAGCATCAGCTTATATTTAATCTTGAGCTGGCTTTACAAATCATGATGGCACAGCAAATTTGATGCCCACACACTGTACCATTTATTGGTTATATGTACTTTAATTTCTCCACAAGGGTAGTCACCAATCTCAGCTGTCTCACCAAAAATCAGAGGTGGAAGGTCGGTGGCTTCCCCTTCAGTAAGTCAAGAGGACAGAAAGGAAAACAGAGAGCAAGTTACCTCACACAGTTTGAATGGTCAGTTCTATATATCTAATGAGCAAGAATGATAAAACACCACTGACTGGAACAGACAGTGCAATATGTAGGTGTTTTTAAATATATACTTCTATGCATCCCATTTGTCCCCAGTTTCTTCAACCTGATATACAATGACTAATATTCAGCTTTAACCTGATCCATCATGGGTACAAGTTAAAACGCCTTCTTTCAAACGTCAATTCTGCTAAAATAACACCCTTATTCAAAAAGAGACAACAAAAAAACACAAGAAACTATAGGCCAATTATCTTAAAATCTGTTTTTGGGAAAATGTTAGAGTCTACAAAAAAGATATAATAGCAGTGCATTTAGAAATATATAATATAATCAAGCAGAGTCA